GTCCCGACGTTTGTAAAAAAAAGTAGCAAATTTCGAGGCTTCAGGATCACGAACAATGTTTTGCCCAAAAGTCTGCAATTAAGTGAGACAAATAATAGTTATATGCCTTGGCATATGTTATTTAATAGTAAATTTTAACGACATTTTTTATCATTAATACTATGTATTATTATTATTTTTATTATTAATATTATATAGTATTGCTAATTATATATATAATTATAATTATTATTATATTATTCTTTGTATTAGTATCATTTTTAAGACAACATTTAGAAGCGGCTAATTTCGACCTCAACCAACATTTGAAGAGTAAATTCTCCAGTCTTAAACAAACAGCCTCAATATTGAACACAATTGTGTCCAGTAAACAACCCAGGAGATGCATGCCGTACCTTCACAAGACCTGCCACTAAAAATAACAAAATATTTCGCAAGCAATGCTAAAAATAATAGTAATAATTTTACAGAAAAACTTCTTCTAAATATCAATGTAAATGCATCACAAGAACCGATGACGATTTCCGAGTTTCCGCTGCCGAGGGTTCCAAGGTGTCGAGGGGAAGCGCTTTATCCTTTACTGCCCTCGGGGGAGCTTCCCCTCAACACGTGCCTCTCACTAGCGAGGGAAGGACCCCTCGCATGGCGCGGCCACGGCCGTACGTCTCAATGTCTGACGCACGCGATGTCCGTAACGGTAAGAAGTGACGTCTCAGGCTCTCACTACCGCACTAATATATCATTAACTTGGTTATAAGTGGCACTGAAAATGGGAAAGCATAAGAAGCAAGGAATGTCCACATAAATTTATCAGAAGCCTTTAGCTTGGTACCCTGAAAAATGTACGTTGGTCTGTGCATAAATTATTTGAAGTAAAGTATGAATGTATAAAAAATTGGTGCACTTGAAATTGATTCACTGCCATTTTATTTACTAGTGCGAAATTTTTAATTTAAACTAAAATGGTTGAAAGGCTTTATTTCTTAAAGGCCTTGATCATTTCATTAAAGGCCTTGATCATAGAATGCATTTGGGAATGAAGTCGTTTGCATTTCGCAAGAACTAATTAGGAAATCTTAGAAAATTCGTATGCTTCTCATTCGATTCCACAAGAGTAAACAACACAAATCTTATTCATCACACTGCCACTTACCGTTGTTGGACGCCGATGATTAAGCTCCGTAGCTGTTCTCCAGACTCAATTGCGATTATTTGTAAACGTATCACAATTGTTTAAAAAAAATATAGTGCAAAACTTCCAAGCTTGTGGATCACTGACGCTATGAAAAGCAGCGGATGAGCGGCTCTGGATTTGAGATATCGTACAACTCAAAGCTCGAAATTTGTTCTGGTAATCTCTTAAAATAAATCGATATTGTTACTTACCCTATCGAAAGCTTAACGCACGCTTATCATATGATTAGTCAACGCGTCTCTACATGAATTTTAGATTGGTAAATCAAAAAAAGAACTGCCTGTTGTTCGAGGTTTATTCGGATGTGTTCGTGTTAGCGGAGACAATGCTTCTCACTTACGGTGGATCATAGAAAAATAATTCAAGTGGCTGAAGCTCATTTATACGCGTTACATCTGCTATTAGAATGCCTTTTATTATCTTGAGCATCACAAATTGTGAAATGCTCAGGAAAGATTTTGGGTGCCAAATAATCTGAGCTGTTAAAATCACTCTATGACGCCCAAAAGGCTACAGTCCACACAGCACATTGTGACAGGAATCATGATCATGAGGTAATTTTGCTGAGAAATTAAGATATGAATGGAAATTGATGAGAGGAACATCGATAATCTTCGATTTGAGGAAGACTCAATACTTTTCTCGGAAACTGAAGATGGTCTCAAGCTATTATCTAATCATAAGATGAAAACGCAAAGCTTGGGCCTCCTCCTGCTGAACTTCATTAACACATATTATGACGACAGCTGTAGATAAAACCATCCATATAATAATTCATAATGAAACTATCGAGTGAATGTTAGACTCTAAAGAAAGCAGATATGAGGAGAGTTGATGCCCTAAACTGTGGTGTTGGAGACGGCTATTGCGCATCCCATGTACAGCTTGGGTAACAAGTATAAATGTAGTTTTAAACCGCATCAACGCAGAATTATCTTTACAGTGAAAACTCACAAAACTCGGGCTCACATACTTTGGCCAGGTAAAGCGATCGGATTCATGGAGCGGCAAGTCAGACACGCGGCGTGCCGGAAAGCTCGTTCAGTTGATGATGTGACTTTGATGTCATCACAGCCGATACTGAACGGCAGCTATACCAGCTGAGATAAAATGTACTAGATCGGACAGCGTGGAGAATGCTAGTTCATAGAATCACTAATAGTCGAAGTCGACTAAATGGGTGACGGCATCATCTTCAAAACCACCACATTCATTTGTTTCAAATTCTGTTTAAAAATATTGAATCACTCATTAGCTTACAAAATGTTTCGTTATCCTTCCCTGTTTCTCTGCAGTCTCCATCCTCCGCACATCGTAGATTCACACTCTCGTCACAATTTGACCAAATCGTTCAATTTGTTGAATTAACGGTGTAGTAAACCACCGACACTCTTCAGCCAAAGCATGTAATAATTATAGATAATGACGACAGATTTTTGCTGTGAATAAAATGCATAATGATTCAATCAAAAATGTTTTTTCAGAAATAGTTTTCTAAAATATTTCACTTACTACACAATCTGTTTTTACATAGCCCTATTTTTGATGGATTATTACTAATTTTTTCCGAAAGAAAGGCTAAATTTTTTATGAACAAATGCATGTATTGGATAATTTAAACTGAATCTCATTTGACACAGTAACTGCAGTATCTTATATGTATAGAATTTATGTCATGGCAGCTGCATCAGACGCCATCAGTTCATCAACTGCATATACGAAGAAGAATTAATCGAATGATTTCTGGTAAATTTTAGCGTTGTAAGATTATTTCAATACTGTCACACAGACAGAGCTGGGCAGCGCTACTTTGAAATGTAGCGGCCGCTACCGCTACCGCTACATGCTTTAAATGTAGCGGGCGCTACCGCTACCGCTACATTGGCTTAGATGTAGCGCCGCTACCGCTACATATAGCGCGCTACTGCCCACCTCTGTTAACAACTAACATGTTGACACTAGTAACAAGCTGAGGTTGACACCGAAATCTTTCGTACAGTTTTATTCTGTAATTTATATTATGTATGCAATCATGCTGGTTTTTAAATAATATTTAATACTATTAGTAAAATCTAAAGGCTTTATCTATAAATGTAGCGGTAGCGCTGTGGCGGCAAAATCTCATATCGCTACTCAAATATGTAGCGGGCGCTACCGCTACCGCTACAGTGGCTTAAATGTAGCGCCGCTACCGCTACTGAAAATGTAGCGGTCGCTAGTAGCGGCCGCTACATGTAGCGCGCTACTTCTCACCTCTTCACACAGATATATATAAAAAATATAACTCAGTACTCACAGCAGTGAGTGACAGAGAGCGCATTTTCTCGTCGACGAAAACTTGAGGTCACGGACAGACAGACAGACAGACGGACATGGTCACATGGCGAGCACAATAGTGCATTTTTTCCCTAAATGAGAAAATGCGCTAAAAAAACCAAGTGAATTTTTCAGACATTTATATTAACTTACAGGTTATTATTCATTTTAAGTTGTTACGCGCAATGCAAAAAGAAAACTTAATGAAATTTGAATGCGCAAAGACAAATTTACGAAGCAGAGTCTCGAACAAATATTGAAAGGGTTTCTCCTAAAATATAACGTCGAAGCCTAATTTTCTTTAAGAAAATTCTGCAAAGAAAACTGTCTAGGTAGCTCTCAACTATTCATTCATTTCTAAATCTCTTTTCATCAGTTACCACAATACTATCTGTTATTATTTATATATGTAGATATAACTATATCCACATATTTGCTATATGCTTGGAAGTAAACTTTTTACCTAAAAAGCATGTTTTTGCAGAAATACATTGCAGAATATATACGTGAATCGAGATGAATTTAGAGTATGATTGTGAGAAATTAACTCAAACTACCGTAGACTAACTTAGTTGTCATCAAATGACTGTAGTTATTATTGATTGGATTTAATTTCATTTGAAGGTACTAGCATATAAAATCGTATAATTTGACATTTTTCCAACCTTCCAATGTACTATTCTAAGTGAAATAATTAAAATCTTTAAGCAACACCATTCCGTTGGCGTTTAACTTCATGTTGAATATTCACTACAACTCTACAAGTCTACAGGGGTGAAACCTGGAAGAAAACACAGCCATTTCCACTCTTTTCATCAGCTGACATCGCATGGCCATACATGGCATATGAGCTGCCTGATCATTAACTAATAAATTTACTTCAAGCTGAAATACAGGTTAAATTTAGTTTCTTGCAGTTACGTAACAACATCAAACTTTAATTTTTGAGATACATTTGAAAATATTGACAAATTGTCATTTCTCTACTCAAAATTGCATTAAATTCTCGCTTTACTAATATCCGTGCCAAGGATGTGTTCATCAACTCTGCGCCTCAGTTCACGTATCAGTGCCAGAAGTTGTATTTTGAAAGTGCCACAACTGTGGCTGGTCCCACCCTCAGTGCAGTGCTCGTTTGCGCAGACCGTTCCAATGCTATATCCTTATTCATGATATAGGCCGGCGCCATGAAAATTATGATACGTTGGTCTGTCTTTCTTCAAAAATGTTTAAATTTTTTTCCTGATTAGGTTGCGTCCAAGCCAGGGGTAAATTTATTCTTCCTTTTATTATTCGATACTTTTTTTCATTACATGTACTGTTTTAAAGAAGTTTCAGCTGGTAATACACAAGGTTTCAAAATTAATATAAAATAAAGATATTTTTTGGCTTTTGAGAATAAATTTCTTACAGTTATTGTTTTTTCATGATTAAATTAAATCGTCTGTGCTACAAGGTCGAAGATAGGCTTTTGTGAAGAGTTTGGTGGGTGAGTGGGCGAGTGAGAGCCAGTAGTGCAAGTTCTACAGATGACTGAGAATGACGGTGTGCAAGTGAGACCAAGTGATATCTGGAGCATCTTACGGCATCCATGGCCGAGGTGGCTTCCAAACTCATGAGTGACATGTAGACTCCCTGGGTCACGTAACACCAGCCGCAAAAATAGGCAATTGGTGGGCAAAAGAAAGCAGTAGGCAGGGGGGGCTCACACCGCTACCACAAACGTGTACCAATGATATGGGTTGTTTTGGAAGCGGTGGGGCAGATGGGGACGTCAGCGCCAAAAGAGAACGAAGAAAAAGACACAGGGAGATCCAGAAGCAAATCCAGCAGGATAAGCAAGTGTATCGGGCGACGCACAGATTATTATTACTAGGTAAAGTGATTTGTATCGTCTGCTCTTCGGCCATATTGGATTATTCTTTCCCGTTTACTTATATTATTCCGTGTCAATTAGATTATTGACCATTTATAATGATGAATATCTGAGTTACGTTTTTTCTGAGTGTTGATGACTTGATGTTTTTATTTGTGCCATATCTCTGTCAACATTTTGTGGAATTGAGCAACTGATTTAGCCTGATTAGGTGTAGGTCTAAGGCTCTAACTCTAAGCTGAACAACCTCGTCAGCTTCCTGAACAATTGTGAAGTTCTGAACTGACTGTTATATGGAAGTTTGCTAGAATTAGTATTTAGTAGTTATGTTAAACCAGCTAGTAACTTGCTTCAGTGCTTGCTACAGATTTAAAGCAATGGTTTAGTTTGAGGTTGTTAGACCCAATATTTAGGTATTATGTCTTTCAATTCCTAAGTGGAAATTTAGGCAGAAGCCACTTGTTAACCTATTCAGACAAAAATGCCTGTGAATCTGGCAAATTTAACCAGTTGCCAGTTCCTATTGTTTTTACCCCATTTCTCCAGTAAAAAATAAGGAAAATGGCCTATTTTTACATGCTTTAAAAATAATCATGCACAAAAAATAGTTTTCACCCACAATTTAAGTAAACTTTTGCCTAATATTCCAAATAGGTTTCAATTCACACTCTTGAAGTTTGAATAACTGCAATTTGGAGTTATTCAGTGCAGCAGGATTTGAGCTCAACTTATCTATTTAGTTTTGCCAAAATATTTTATAACAAGTCTGGATCATCACATTTTGATGCCATCGAATAGTCAAATACCTTGAGCAATTTTTTGTCAATGACCTGCTTGCATAATATTTGTGCTAGTAAAATACCTTTTATGTATGTATCTTTGATTAATAGGGTAAACGCGGTATATTCCGACACTTTAAGGATGCATTGAGAAATGAAAAACTATAAAAAAAACGTATGCGTTACGTAAGTTTTGTTGCCTTCACATGACTCTCAAAACACTTCACTACGCGTCAGCAACGATGAAACGTCACAAAATGTTGCCATATTTATTAAAAAGCCTTTTCAAGATGTTGATAGTAGTATAAACTAAAGAATGTGGTCAGGCAAGTGTGGAAAACCTCTCCCTTTAGCTTAGGGCTGCAACTAGAGCTTTCCCACCATATCCGGAACCTTGAGATTTTTGCCAGATGAATTAACTCCTATCTAATTATTAACAAAAGTGCATGATCGGGCCGTGAGATTCCAAATGTATTAAAAATTCCAATCCTGTGGTCAGCCATTCAAATTTATTTATGGCTCTGTGACTCATTATCTATGTTCAGTAATTCAACTAATTTTGACTAAGAAGCATGGTTTTCTTAACTATTTTGGTGTATGGCATAATCAGCCACATAGATTAAAGGAGATTGTAAATACTGGTGCCCTCTTTATGGAGTGAGAAGCTGTAAAGCATCAGAAGCAATGCCAGTATTGATTGCTCTTTCTGGCACAAAATATCACCAATATTTTGTTACCAGAATTACTTTGAAATGATTGTTCATAATGGTATGTAAAAGTAAATGAGCATCAAAAAAAACTGTTGTGTCTTTCTTCATAGAACTTTTGAAGAAAATTGTTGAAACTTACGAAAAAGTGATCTGAGAATCACCTGGTTGTAAAATATATCTTTTCCATTCAAGTTATAAATTGCATTTTTCAGTACATGAATGGATATATATATTAGTTTTAAAATATTTAAATAAATTATTTGCTTTGAAAGAAGAAAATTTTTGATTGTCAGAATTTCTGTGCCATTATTTTTTGAAAGATATGTATATTTATCTCTGAAACTTTCATACAAATGTTCATCATTTAAAACTTGAAAGATTAACTTTGCTCTATCTAGTAAAAGCTGATGTTTATGCCACTGAAGCATTCTAAACAATTCTCATGTTGCAGGAGCTGGCGAGTCCGGGAAAAGCACAATTGTGAAGCAGATGCGCATTCTCCATGTCCATGGATTTAGTGACGGGTGAGTCTCGTCAATTCTGAAGAACTTTTTTTTTACTGCAGCACACCTAATGAATTACAACTTTATTTTGTTACCTCAACTTGTGTTGAGAGCAAAAAAGAATTGAATTTAAAGTTGTTCAAATTTATCCTGACAATATTTCTATACCCTTGCATACAGTACTTTTTTTCCATTTGAGACAAGGCTTAAAGCTTCATTCTGGTGTGTGGAATAGTGATAATAATCAAGGAAATTTTCAACACTATGGGAATTTTTGAGCAATACAGAGTTGATACAAGACATCTTGATTAAATGGGAGCTTTAAACTTCCTTTAAATTTACATCTATTTTAATGATAGAAAGAGATGCACTAGTTATTCCTTACTATGGCATTTAAATAATAATTTGTTGCAGAAATTATATATCTGCTTAATGATTATTTTTTGTCCATTTCCAAGGTTTTGAGTATTTTACTGTTGAACAGTGTGCATACCGGTTATGGAAAACCTGGAAAGTCATGGAATTTGATTTTTCATTTTCGGGGCCTGGAAATCATGGGATTTCATTTCAGGGCCTAGAAAGTCATGGGATTTTATTTCAGGTTATGAAAGTCATGGAATTTGCAAATAAATGAAGAAAAAAAGGAAGTGTTTTTCTGTACTGCGTGTGTTAACCCATTAATGCCAAGCAATTCCATTTGGAACCAGTGGAGAAAATGGATTCATAATAAAATTGTAAGAACAAATAAATATACAAGTGGGTGCGGAGGTTTGATACACATCTTGTACATGTTCTGGCAAACTTTGGTTCTGCTGTGCCAACTACTCTCTTTTCAGTTAACATTCAAAGATTAAGAACTAGGTCATGGGAAAATCGTGGAATTTTTTTCTAAATACCAGTATCCACCCTGGTTAAATGAAATGCTATTATATGACCATCTTGGAAATGTGCGCAAATTTGAAGGGCCAGAGAAAGCCTGTTCACACATTCTTAAAAAGCTGACTCATTAGGTGTGTTTACATGGGCCTCTTGTGGTCATCACTAATTGGTTGGAACTAGCTGCCACTAATTATCAAGCTATTGGCATTGTGTACTTGGGTACTGCCTGCTTCAGTGGTTGATAGTGAGTAGCAGTCAGGAGCTGCCCTTTGTGAGCCTAGTTTCATCCAGAAAGTTTCCAAGAACCAGACATCTGCAAGGCTAATGTTAAAGCTGGATTTTAAAAAATTTTAGACACAGAATTGGATAGCCAGAAGGTTACGTATATGAACAAGTTCAGAGAGCAGAAAGTTATGTGCACACTTAGCTTAGACTAATTATATCTCGTATGTGTTAAAATACAGCTAAGACTGTAACATACACATGTTGGATCTACTTTTGCTGCAAAGGCTGTATCTAGGTACAGCTTGTGCAAGCAACCTTCTTCAATGTCATGATTGGGTGCGAACTTTGGGTTTGGTTGTCTGACATAATTATTTGAGATAGGTATATATATTTGCTATTCTGATGGGGACTTGGCCATTATAATACGATTTTCTAAATTTCTTCATCTCTTTGAACTTGACAGTGTGGGTACAAAGTTGTCTATGCATGACTGATTGTTGCCTTCGTTGACCTTTTAAATATTGCCACAAAGTTGCTCTGACTATTGATTTGCCTTATACCTAAAAAAATGAGTCTTGTCTGCCCTTGCTCCTGAAAAAATTTCATTTATTTTCTTCAATTCATGGCATGTTTTAGTTCTAGAGAAAACACGTGCTCTTCTAAGTGGCTGACTAAAGGACTGCATCACCAACTTGCAATGATGCCATCAGGCACCTGACCACACACTGAACTCATAGGCTCTCATAAGACACGATTTAAGTTCTAATTGTAGCTTTCACTCAGTATTCAGCCATGCCATGCCAAATCTGCCCACTGATTCTCTGACAAAGTTGATTCAGCAAACAAATGTCACTAAACCTCCCCATGACTGACAACTGGTTGACGCAATGATCCAAGCATTGCATCAACCAGTTGTCAGTCATGGGGAGGTTACAACAGGTCATCAACAATCAAGTGTAAATTTGGTATTTCCCACTCAGAATGTCTTGTTTGGTCCCTATGGAAATGGAATATCTTGTTTTGCCTAGATTATTGAAGACATGTCTTGTCTCATTATGTAACATCTCGTTTTATTCCTATCTGTCTTGTATCATTTCATAATAACCAGGACACATATTTTAAAAGCTAGGACACAAGAATTGCTTTGGTGTTTATGCATTAATTTAACCATGTTTCTTTTATGAACAGCTCTGTTAAAAACTTCTAATTCGCTATGAACAAAAATAGGTATTGATCAGAATATTTTCACAACTGCATTATTATTTCTAATTACTCATAAATGGGATTTTTGTAATTACTTATTCTGTAGATTAGCTGTCATTGATATGTAGTAGCTGAGCTTAAATTAATTCAAATCAAAGTCTCATAAAATGAGAGCAATTTGAAGTAGTATAAATACTAGGTATGCATTTAGTTTTCTTCACAAGCCTCTCTTCATATCTTGGGTATCAAAATTTCATTTCAAGTGTCAAGGAACCCATCCCAGGTGTGCAAGTGTACAGCTCCCCAGCAAATATACCCATGCTACCCTGCCTCATGAACCTTAGTTTTTTGTGTTGCATTTCACTTTGTTTTGCTTGACCCCTTGATGGACTCCAAACATTTAACTCAGCTTTGTGATTGGTCCAGTTTTCCTGTTGGTTTTGTTCCAAAAAATAATAATTGGAGAAAAATAATGAAAAAGATTGGTTGGACTTCATAATTTTGTTTTAATGTATCTGAGTTGAGGGGTTCCCTTTAGCTCTGGTCTAGTTTCCTTTGATTTGTTTCACTTATGTTCTCTTAAATTTATGATGGCTATTGCACATCTTGTCGAGATAAATTATTTCTACAAATGCCTTTAGATGTACCTAGGTAAGGAATTAGTGTATGTAGTAGGTATTGAACAGAGAGCACTGCTGGGCAAAACTACAATTTCTCTTAAGCATTTGTTTTCTACAAGCAAAAAAAGACAAATGTATCTCAGAAACTTTCATTGGTATTATTATTACCTAGCAAATTCATCACCAGAACCTACATCATGGAGTGAAAGATTCATTTGAATTTTCATCACAATGAATCGATTTTGAATGCTTATGCTTGTTTTGTTTTCAGGGAGAAAAAGGAGAAAATCTCCCACATCCTATGCAACATCAGAGATGCTATCTTGGTGAGAATTTGTTGCAACATCAAATAACATATAAAGACCATTATTAGCTTATTAGGGTTTTGTTATATCAAGTGTAAAAGTTTTTAAAATTATCTAATGTTTAAATATATTTATATGACAGTATTTTATCTGTATGCAAAATATTGTAAATTTATATGATTCAATGTTCAATTTTGAGAAATTATAGGTAGACAAACTGGGCTAGTTCTTCACATTTACTTGAAATTATCTACAAGTGCTTTTGTTCTGTAAAATAATTCGTCATAGATAGCCCATAAGTTACACTCCAAAATTATATACACTGTGAATCGTTTGTGCAGACGATCACGGGTAGCATGGCTACCCTGACACCGCCCGTCAGTTTAGAGGATCCCAACAACCAGGCGAGTGTCGACTACATTCAGGACGAAGCCTCGCAGATCGACTTCGATTATCCTCCCGAGTTCTTTGACCACACCGAGATCCTCTGGAGAGACAAGGGGGTGCAAGCTTGCTACGAGAGAAGCAATGAATACCAGCTCATTGATTGTGCCAAGTAGTGAGTATCATTACGATGGATTGTATCTTATAATTTGTGACGGCAATTAACAAAAATTATATTTTTACTGTATGAAGCTGAGAGCGAAAATTATTTTTGGAATAACATATAATATTCTTTTGTGTTACAAATGCAGTTAATTTTTACTATACATAGGCAAGTATGTGAAGATCAATATATTATCTCCTTCAGTCTGATCAGGATCTCGTTTTCTGTGTTGTGATTGTTGCTGTTATAAAGTCGCATTCTCAGTGATGGGTTTATTGGAAGCTTGTGATGTTAAACTTTGGTTACGTAACTTGTTTATTGTGTGGATTCTTCTCATGATATCCTCTGAAAAAAATTAAAGTTGAAATATCTGAGTTGGTACAGTCACAGGACAGCTGGCAGTACTGCTAAGAAGATAAATATTGCTTGTATCTTAGTAAATGCTGTATTATGAACTTTTTCCGTGAACACTACTTTCTATGGCCTTGGGTGGAATAAGTTATGTATTGAATATCTAAGCTATTTGTCAATCTTCGAAAAGTTTCCATAAGTAGAAAAATATTCCAGCTTCTCGAATTCCCCTCGCAATCTAATGTAATGTTAATTTTAAGTGCCAAGGTGTGTGAGACTTGCTGTGTGTCAAAAATGTAAGTTGATGTACACTTGCGTTAATTTTAAGTGCCAAGGTGTGTGAGACTTGCTGTGTGTCAAAAATGTAAGTTGATGTACACTTGCATACACCGAGATCCTCTGGAGAGACAAGGGGGTGCAAGCTTGCTACGAGAGAAGCAATGAATACCAGCTCATTGATTGTGCCAAGTAGTGAGTATCAAAGTCTAGTGTTGTACATCACACGTAGTCATCTGTAGAAATTAGTATCTTGTAGTCTTGTGTTGAGCATCACACGTAGAAAGCTGTAGAAATTAGTATCTTGTAGTCTTGTGTTGAGAATCGCACGTAATAAGCTGTAGAAATTAGGATCTTGTAGTCTTGTGTTGTGCAAGACACATAGTCAGCTGTTAAATTAGTATCTTGTAGTCTTGTGTTGTGCAAGACACGTAGTCGGCTGTAAAAATTAGTATCTTCTAGTCTTGTGTTGTGCATTACACGTAGTCATTTGTTAAAATTAGCATCATGTTATACATACAATGATCAAGATGTGCATATCTCGTGATAAATTATGAAAATAACATGTATCTAATGATGAAGTGATCAAG